GTTATCCATGCCGCCAATATCTAGTGACACCAGTAATTGATCTGCAAATCCGACCGCAACGCACCGAAAAGGCTATTTCCATGTCTTTCAACGACCCTCACAAAATTGCAAACGTCCCTAACTATAATTGTTGCTACAGCTGTGTTGTTCAACTTCATAAGAAGGCGAAATGATCCCATAGATGATCCAGAACATATTCTGGCCGATGAGGAAGAAGTAGATGACATGCATGCTGGAAACCGACGTTTGGACAATGTGGTACGACAAGCCCTGATAATATAACATTTTACGTAAATTATGAATAACATATTCAATATGATAACGCAATTAATATACATTAAAATGTGAGCGAAAATGTACATTATTGCTCTCTTATTTTCTTAATACACAACTTCATAATGGCCAGAACAAGCAAATAAAATATACTCGTACAATCATTTTGTAATTTATTAGGTTATTTTTGAAGTTATTTTTGCTTCCTTCCCCGTGTGTTTGGTTTTTGTAGTTCATCTTGTGTGGATTTTATTGTTTTTTTATCTTATCCCAATATTGCAGTTCAGCGTCTAGCTTTGTGTGTAATTATTAGATTTTTTTTTAAAACCAGGAGCTCCATCTCTGCTTCATACTGCTGGGTTTGCATGTCCAAACATCGTGCTTGGGCAGCGGATATTTGTGATGTTTTGGTCAATGATGGTGTAAGGGCAGCGTCAACAACAGATGGCGGAAATTCATTTTCGTTTGGTGTAGTTTTTGTACCTGTAGTTGTCGCCTCTAAATCCGTTTCGTCGTCGTCGCGATCAACTTCAACACATTTAAAACCCGATAAAGTAAATGAGATGTTATGTACAGATTACAAAGTGTTGTTCAGAAATTTCAAACTAATTGATCGGATTAAGCAATTGTATAACACCTGCATGCATAATGATTTGGCATTGTCTTACCTATTTCAAAATTATCGTCATCAAACATATTACTTACTGTAAGCTGTCAATTTGGGCTGGAATGATAGAAGCAACAGCCGCAGCTTCATCGTCTTGTTTCGACGTTGAAGGCTCGCCACCAGTTAACTTCGCCTCCTTCTTCTCTTTTGCCAGTTGCTTTTTGGCGCGGGCTTTTACATTTTCCCAACACTTTTTTAACTGCTTCGAGTCCCTCTTTGTCACATCTGACTGGGAATTTAGTCATAGATGACAGGTTAACCCTGCAGAGCTTATTGCTCCATTTACAGGGTCCCTAATAATATGTATATAAAAAAAATTACATTATTTACAACACATTTTATCCACAAGACTGGACAACGGACGACACGATTGACACTTGACACATATACTTTTAAATGTTCGCGGAGCATTAATGTTATATATTTGTTTAGTCATTGCTTCATAATAAGTTAACAGGTAAGATTTGAATTGGCCGACAGTAACGCTTGCTTCTCGAATATGCGGTGGTAGGGAGTTATATATTCTGGGAGCTTTATTATAAAAACTGTTCTGAAAAGTTAAAGTGTTAACTCTGGAAATTTTTAATGTTACACTGTTAGTTGTAGCGCGCCTGGTGATACGATCGTTTGATACTATACTAATCCGAGAGTCATATATTCAATTTAATTGCCTTAAAGAGATACACCAAGTCCAGGTACTCGTGCCAGTAAGACAGAGGAAGTGAACCTGATTTTAATAGTCTGTCCTGGTAACTAGTTTCAGATCTAAACGGCAGCGATAGGTGAATCTCGTTGCACGTCTTTGAATCTTCTCGACTTTGAGGATTAACGACACAGACTGCGGGGACCAGACTTGGGAGATGTACGCAAAACGACTTCGTACTAACGTTTTATAAAGTGCGGTACGTGTACGAGGATCATGCACCTTAATGGAGGACATTTTTACAAAGCCAAGCATTCTGTTTGCTTTCGCACATACAGCAGAGACGTGTTGGTTCCATTTGAGATCTGCAGTGACGAGAACGCCAAGATCTTTTTGAACAAGCTTTTACAGATGACCGTTGAGTTGGCTGAGTTATCGTTGTTGAGATGGTAAGATGACTGCACGAGTTTGAGATTCCTTGTTTCCTTAAGAACTCCACACTTAGTTTTGTTAAGGTTCATGCGCCACGTCCGACACCATTGGCTGATTCCATCCAGATCACATTGGAGAGCTTTTACGTCATCTGTTGTTCTTATGACATGATAACACTTGGTATCATCAGCGAACAGAGCAACAGACGATGTGGTGGACTTTTCGGGCAGATCATTCACGTATACAAGAAACAATAAAGGGCCAAGGATTGAACCCTGAAGAACACCTGATAGAACGGGTATTGATCGGGATGTTTTTCCTAAAATGGTAACATTTTGATGGCGATCTGTTAGATAGTTATGAAACCAGCTCAGCAAGTTTCCGCAAACTCCAAAATTACTAAGTTTCTTGAGAAGCAGCTGATGATCAACCCTGTCAAACGCTTTAGCGAAATCGAGATAAAGGACATCAGTTTGGATTCTTTTGTCGAGTGACTCACCAAACTCGTGTAGAACCTTTAGTAACTGTGAAGTTGTAGACTTTCCCCTGAGAAATCCATATTGGAG